GGAAATATTCGTGGCCAGTGAAGACCTGGAATGGACAGTACGTTACTCCCTTGAAAGCCCGTCACATTACTTTTTTGTTTCTCGTATTCATTTTCTAGTCTAAACAACGACTCCTATTGTGCTTTCCCACCCCTGTTACAACTTTCAAGGGTGCACTCTCTTTTGCCTGCTCTCATGTAAGGCTCTGATTGCAAAATATTTCTTGCCGCTCTTTAACCATGGTGGGAAAAGCTGAGTTGGTTCAGACATAATTGCTTATTCGGAGAGCCAGCCCACTGCGCTTTTTCTAAACGGCTCTTATTAACAGCACATACATTATACAAATATTTTTTGCAAATATATAATATTTACAGTTCTCCTTCCAAACTTAAAGGCCATGCCTAGGCTCTTCGAGCGATTTCATGTTTGCAATATTACACGCGTATATGACATTAGCATTCGCATTTTACTACAGTAATGGTGCATTCTTAGGAATACATTTAGTAAAACGGCTCTACTAATAAACAGAGGTATGCATCCGGCATACGTGCTTTTATGTTAAGAGGTTACAGTTTAACGTTCATTTTTACGTAGTTCTGTTAGCGCCTCATAGAAGTCACAGTCAAACGTTCCGTTGTTCTAAACTGCGGGCATTTATCAATAATGCTCACTTTTTAAGAAATATTCACCAGCTACGAAAGGATTTTTATATAACCTTTTTCACAACAACCTGTATTTCAGATACATAATTTTAGAACGAGAAAAGGTTCAGCTAGGGCTTATAGATTGCTTTCAAATAGCTTCAGTGAACATTTTTCATGCTGAAAAAGTTTTTCACTTGTTCGCTGGTTATGATTACGGAATTCAACGCACACTTCAAAATAAGATAATTTTTTCTCTTAAGAGAAAAAGAGCATTGTTAATTTAAAGTTAAAAATCCAAAGAGGTCGCAATTGTTGAACGTCGTCAGCACGACTGGAGCATATGAACTATCGTCTCGTGACAGAACAGTATCAATTGCATTAAATTCCCAAGAAGCATAGTTTTACCATTTTTGTTTAGAGTCACTATCAGCATTTTTGTTAATTGGCGTGTGTTAAGTAATCAAATAGCTAAATCTGGGACCTCTAAACGTCCAGCGAATTCCACAAATTTGATCTTAACGACTGTCGATCTAATGAAATCAACGTTTGACGAGATAGATGACGTGGAAAGATCGACAGATGAGCGTCAGTAAAATTCAAAAGCAAATTGAAGTTTGTTTTTGAATTTTAGGTTGAACTGAGGTATCGATGAACTACCGATAGGTTTAGATCACATTTTGATCTAAACCTATCGATAACTATCTAGCAGATAGAACTACAATGTTTAGAAATAAAAACAGTGCATCTCATTTGAAAACAGCCAGTGGGCGAATCAATTTATTGTCAGTCAAATGTGACATCTACACAGTTTTAAGTAGAAATGTACACATTATCCTTGAGTGCCTATATCGATCGTTGTACGGCGCTTTTTGGCGGTTATTTTAATAGACGTTGGTTGCTATTTAACCTACACTAAAAGTCAGCTTCTATATGTATATTCCTGCCTTCAGACTTGACCTTGCGCTGCCAAACCGTCTCACATGTCAAGTCGGTAACCTTCGTTACTTGTTGCTTCTGCTGGTGTTAAGTAAACAGATGCCAGCTGGGTAAAAGCGGTGGCACACAAGGATTTTCTTTGTAGGTATTACAGACAGAGCTTAACATGATCTCAAAACAGGAAATATAAGTCAACCGACCACATAACGGCCTAATCTCAAGCATGTTATTAGCTATAATAGCAGAGATATTATCTTATTTTTTGTCTGAGATCAACAGCTGTCAGCAGATAATATAATATTTCTATACTTAGAAAGTGAGTATTTTTAGTTCTAAAAGAAAACCAGCTCTTTCTAAAATAAAATAACAAACTAGTCATGATGAAACACAATGCGTCTTTTTTTGAAATTTTAACTAAGATCACTTATTATGCAATATATATATGCAAAACAAAACTCCCACCAAGACATAATAACTTCCTTTTTGTCTGAGATCGACGGTTTATGCCATTGCCTGTTTTCATGGGGTTTCTAAAAAATTCAAACAAGACTTTTTTGAGGCAAACCAAAGAATCTTCAACGGGATTTGTACATAAAGGGTTTGAGATCGACCAACTGTTTATGGAATAAAGAAGGAGCATTGAAAAATGAATAGTAAAAGGCTAGGCTTCGATGTCGCTGCAATTGCGAAACAAAAGCTGTAATTACAGTAAATAACGACTATTTTGAATTAACCTAAGCATCATGAATGGGATTTTACTCCGTGCAAAAAAAAAAACGTTAAGAAATCTGTTTTTATTCAGATACAGTCTTAAAGTAAGCTATAAGAAACAGTCGTCAAAAAATAAAGTCTTTAGATGGACCACTGTGTGTATATATGTTATGTGGTTTAGTATGAAATGCAAAATACGTTTATTTCTAAATGGCACTATTTTGTACCGATGCGACACTTTTCCTTTCGAGAAGCGTTTGCGCTTTTTGCAATCTAAGGCGATTAACCCGAACGTGGCCACTCATAGCAAACGAGATGCAATGCGCAATAAAAGCCTGGAGAATTCGAGTCGTTCATGGTAGCTCGTCGTATAAACCTTGTATTCGGTGAAGGATGTACTACTGGAAAGTCGGTCTTACGTTTAAAAATTCTGGAAGAAGACTTTTAATTCGAAAATAAGTCTCGTAGAGGACAGGTGAATTATGAAATATATATATTAACAGCTGTGGTGAAGGCCGACCCACCTCGAAGAACAGCGCTCGAATTTGGTATATATACTTACCAAACTTGCTTACCTCTATCAAATTAATAAGGTAACAAATTGGACGAATGGAAACAGCATAGTTTAAGCGGAAATCAAAAACGTAGAGATGCTTACCTCTTTTCGCTTTGAAATCTGGTTTCATAATGTGCAGCAAGACTTCATGTGGACCTATAGTAATCATAATCTTTAACCTGCTATTTTGACAGTAAACAATCATAAGGTAATGTTTATTTTCGCTATAGTTACAGACAGCCTGACTTCTTCGACCGTTATAACCCTAGCTTATGCGGCTCTATTGGCCAATGACCTTAATGTCTGCAATTAATATTTTTTATAAAATGTAAACGAATTTAAGCTACATAATAGAAGAGTCTCTAACAAATGTACTGGTATATTTTCCTTTCGAGTGGCACAGATTGTTTTCAAGAACGTTTTTGTCATACCACATAGCCCTACTCTCTTCCTATATATTGGAAGTTCGAGGTAAATTGGCACAAAAAAGATGTCGCCTCTTTGTGAATAGCATACTTATGAAAACCGATTTCTTAAATACGTGTGTTAGTATGTGAGTCTGCTCAACGTGACTGTCATTCGCTCGGATCATGATTATAATTTAGGGTGTGAACCGCTCATAGGAACTTTTTAAAGTATTTTATATTTTTGAACGCCTTTTTAATAACAACAGTAAACAAGTTGACATTGTTATATTGTGATATGTTAGACCTACAGTACATTATGCACAGCGGTCCTACAGTTTCAGATCTTTGTTGCAGGGCGACCATGTGCCCTTATTGAACATACTCAGATGTTTAACAGACCCTATATTAATTCGTTCACATGGGCTAGTGCATCATATTGCTAAAAAACGTATGACTAACCATTCGATACAAAAGCTTTACATGGTTTTATAGTCTTATAACACTTCATTTACCGTACGAATGGGCTTTTTCTGAAAAAAAAGAGCAGCATGATGCTTCTAGTAGTGGAATTAATAGTCAGAGCATAAGCGCTGCGATGGAGATTTGATTTTGCCCATAATGGAGATTTTATCTGAATCATCGGTAAGCACGAGGTTGGTTTGGGAACTTTTTCGGTATCTGTTTTGTTGTTTTTTTTGTTGTCATTTCTACGACAGACGTCTATAACTCTGTTGAGCATAGATTCAAGGACTTGTGACAGCGGTCGGTCCTTCTATTGGTTGCTGTTTCTATAATAAATATTTGTTCACCGTTGCTTTTTGCTTGAGAACACTTGGAAGCAAATAATATTATTCGGGTTTCTTTGGCCTTGTTATAGAACTCATTTTGAAGTTAGTACTTAAGTTTTTCGCGAATAACTTGAAACGTTGTACCCGCTAATACGTTAATTTGTTATTGTTCTATTCATCCTCATGTTGATCTGCGTATTGTATACGCTGCTACACTAAGCACCAAAGCACTGGAGTCTTCAACAGACGTTTGCACTCTTTCTATTCCTTCTTAAAGCCCTATTTGTATATACATACAAGTTTGGTGGCTTAACTTTTGTAAACACATGTCAGTAAGTACTTACATACTTGGTTCTTCAAACATAGGCTCAAAAATCTTAAAAAAAAAAGCTGCATAGAAAAGCACACATGCTAGCTCAGTCAAGTCTGAAAATAACATAAGTAATACAGTAAATTCTTATAATCGTTCCCGGTAAATATTTTCGCAACGCATGTTTATTGAATATGTATTTTAACATTTCTATACCCGCTTAGCATTTGTTGCCCCGGTAGCTGTCGGTACCTGACATTATTTTCGGCTGCTTGATGACTGCTTGCCCGGATCGCATGCTCGACTAACCGCTGCTTTATTCCCGAAGAATGTCGGCTGACGCTTCCACATGGCCCGCAAGGGAGATTTTCAATTTTTCCTCAAGTATTTCCGCTGCTATCTCTGTCTGTTTTTGTCTTGCTTCTGTCGTCATGCTCTGTTGCAATTTCTAGCCAAGATAAGAAGACAACAGAATCAAACAATATATGCTATTAAATTGTTAGGATTCGCTTTTGAATACCTCCCTCGGCCCTTTTCGTAGACGGACCTCCTCGCCGTCGCCTTTACTTTCTTCGCTTGCAATGCGGAGGTGGAACAGCAAAACGTTTTGAACTAATGCCATTACGAGTACCACGCTTCTGCCGCTTGTCTCCCTGATAGGCAGACGTTTTTAACTGTACCGTTTATCTGTGTAAAAAAGAAATGGTAGCAAGACCAGAAAAATTTCACTGAATTTTAATGCGATCTACCTATGAAAAGCCGCTTCTTTCTTGACCTCTTACCTGTGTAGGAGCTTTATGGAGACTTTTATGCCGTGCTTTGAACTCCGAGCGCAATAACAAGTTTTGAGTATGACAGACGGGCTCTAATGTGAAAAAAGTAATAAATTCGATAGAAAGCTTTACAGGTATCACTCAGGATGTTAAATTCTCCTTTAGTAACAGAGTCCACCATGTTATGCCTTATTGGTGCTATGCTGGTACCTATGAAACTCTGCGACGAGCTTCCGGAATATACTGTGCACTATTTCGATCAACGGGTGGATCATTTTGGTTTCCACAAAAGAGACACCTTCCGTCAGAAATATCTCATTTATGATAAGGAGTTCGTTGAAAGAGGACCAATTTTTTTCTATTGTGGAGGCGAAATGCATGTCGAGTTACACGCCAAACAAACGGTAAGTATTGATACTTCGTTGCAAAAGGCAAAGCCATCTTTAAGTAATTTTCTTTGTTTTTAATGTCATTAATGTATATGGCAAATAAATCTAATAGTTTAATCATTGACTAAGCAATAAGTTCTGAGGTTATTTTTGTAGAGTACTCTGGTTCTCTTTAAGTTAGATACATTGTACAATATGATTACTAAAGATGCTTCGAATATTTCTTATATATATATTTATTTTATATATATATATATATTTATATTTAGAAATGGCATACTGAAAATTCTTTATTCGACTCGAAAGTCCGATTATCCATATTCATATCTCGATTAAATCGATCTAAGAACGTTATAAAAATGATTTTATAGGGGATTAGATTCTAAATTGAATCGAAAACTTTATTTCATAATGTCAGCCACTTAATTTCATTTAAAGACATCTGCAGCTCATGATTTTTATACTTATGTCAACTGCTGGTTGTTCATATTCATTTTGCAAGGAAATTTAGATCTTTACAAATAAACACATTTGTATGGTTTTATTTTTTAGATGAGCTCTAAATTATGAACTAATTCAACAAAGTCGGATATAACCTCATATCGAATAAAAGCTTCGTTGTCTAAAATAAATCTGACGATTCGAACATTATATATATATATATATACATATATATTAGGGTACCTTAAAATGTATACACAGTTTGAGCGGTTATAACTTCAATTTTTAGTTATGTGTAGTAAAGAATGTGCATGTTCCAAATTATTATTGCTTTGGTCAAGAAACTGCTGATAACACAGACTATTAATTCACAAACTTTAACAGACATCTTATTATTTTTTAATTTAATATTGCAGCTCATTTTTGCTGAGTTGCAATTTCTATTCCTTCCAGCATTGTCGATTTTCTTTATCTTTAGGTTGTCGCAATAAAAGACCTTGGCATTAGATTATTTTCGACCCTATATTTTTGAAAGATTCTAATCAATCTTGATTATGCATCATGATGGTAGAGTGCAGATGCTCGGACCTGTTGGAAATAAAATTTGCCATCTTCACTAAGGTTCTTCTAAATGTATAGTAAAACAAATTCTTGCAGTAAACTCAAGTACTTAACTTTAATCACTGTATTGTTAAAAAAAGAACGGTTTAGATAATCTTTTGAATGTATTTTTATCGTTTTAACAACTTTCTCCGAAGACTGTTTATTCCGTTCCATTCTTCATTGATGCCACATACCATTGTAAAAACGAAACTTTTTTTATTTACAGTATCTTAAAATGCAAGGAACACTTGATTTGCTTATTCCAAAAATACTACTTGATCGTCTTATAAATTTTCGAAATACTTCGCTTTAGCTCCCAAGTTGTTAGCTCGTAAAGTTTGTTGATATCCTTGGTCTTCCGAAACATTGTCCGTGAACATCCTGAGCAATACCGTTTCAACTTAATCTTTTATCCGATTAATTTTAAGTCGCCTAGGTAGACTTATCTCAACTTCCCTCATATATTATCCTTGTACTTCTCCTAGAATTTTCATACTTTCAATAGCCCTTTAAAACATTTTTTGTTCAAAAGTTAATCTTAGTTATCCTTTCTTTCAAATTAATTACATTCCGAAAATGAAGGGCAATTATGACCCAACAAACAACGTGTACTTGGAAACGTATATATATAGTACTGCTCATTGCATATTCGTTTGGTTCATGATCTTCATGGCCTCACTCTATTTGCGAGGAAGCCAGTCTGTCCGTACTTCTTGATCTGTTCGTAATTGGCTTCTATTAAATAGTAGGTTTTTACGAAAAATAAACCGTAGCGCTTCATCACTACAAAGTGCACACACTGCTAAATTTATCGCTCGATGGTCCGTTAGCCCTTGTTTATGTACATACAACGAAGGAGAGGCAAAATGGGCTGGCAATTTCTTATATACCCTATACTTGAACGAAAATGCTTTCTCCTATTACATAGGAGCCAACAATTATCAGCTAAGGTTTCCCAAGATAGTTGCCAAGATAGTTGAAGATTTCCAATGTAAAACCATCTTTGTTTCTATTTACTTTTCAGGGCTTAATGTTTACGTGGGCAAGAGAATTCAAAGCACTACTGGTGTTCGCTGAGCATCGATACTATGGCGATTCGATGCCATATGGAGAAACATCTTTCTATGTAAGTTACGCTTGTAATGTACAGGGTGTGCCAGGAAGATATGAAACAATTTGATAATTAGCTGAACAAATTGAGAATTTAGCTTTACCATAATGCCTTCAGGTGATGCACGACCCTAAAACGTGTTTTGCCCATAATAAAACCGTATTAGTGCCACCGATGAAAAATAGAAATATCGTGTTTGACGTACGGCTCGAAATTAGATACATAGAAAGGCTCCTCGATGATAAACTAGCTTAACCGATATCGACAGTCCATCATTATAGTTATGTAGCTTCATGTACAAATGTAAAATATATAAGAACAGGCTTGAAAGATTCTAAGGATATATAAAAGAAATTACGATGTGTGCTTAATATTAATCGTATCTTCGTTTAGGGTTCAACGTTCATTTTTCGCAAAAGCGCCTGTCACATAGTTTACCATTCCCCAGTTACCTCTGCTTATCATAAACCTCACGCGGACTGTCTTTGGAGATATTAAAGCAAAAAGATGTATTTGTTATTTTGGCCTTTTAGATACTTCTAAGTACAATGCGTCTATCTGCTATCTATGTTTTTTTCGTTTGTGTAATAAAATAACCTTATCCTTTATGCAAAGTTAGTCGGTGGAACAGCCCCGAGGATACTCTCATTATGACTAGGTCTAACCTCCTATCTGTAAGCAGTTTAAAGTGACACATGAATTTAAACAAGCTACTGAAGGTAGCTCACTGTCGCCACATCTGTTTCCAAACTAGAAAATAAGTTAACTGGGACGCTCTGCTGTAAAACCAACAGTAAACTTTACAATTGGCGAATGATAGTAATTGTAGCGCTCCAGCTCTCAACACCTAATTTGCTGCCGAATACGACTTTATCATTTTTATATATATTTCTGGAAGTTCTAGGACATAAAAGAAAATTCTCATCAGCGTACCGTTTTCAGGTTTTGTGGGGTTGGGGTACTTTAGCGGCCAATATTCCGGACTATCTTGGAAGATATTAATGTAGACGTATTTGCAGTATGCTAGATTTAGTCACGAATACTGTCTAATGAATACAATTGGTATTTTGAATCCATCCACATGAGACCCCGTAATGGTGTTGTAATAACGTGTTTGCCTATTAAACTTGGAAACACATGCGATAGCCTAGCGAAACCGGATATAGGGAGCCTTCGTTTGGTGTTGAGAACTAGCCATTTAAAACAACGCTTAACGGCTATAAAACTCAGGCTACACTTGTCGGATACATTTACATAAACAACTTCTTAAGCTTTTTCAGGTAGAGAATATATGCTTTCTGAAAGACCTACTTCCATACAGAACTTTTTGGCCTTACCTTTTATCATCGGTCTTCTTATGTTTGTGAGGTTCGCGATTTGCATATATCTTATGCCTCTATAGTACGGACGTTATTTCGCAGGCTGACCAAACTTGTTTCATTCCATGAATTCTTTTTTCACTCACGTTCATGTTAGCCTTCTTTTACAGAGTAGAAATGTAATATTTTACACTTTTGCTACAAAATTTGCTATATATATACTTTTTTCTTAGGACACAGGTTTAAGATTTGCGAGAAGAAAGGTATTTGGTGGCTACACCAGTACATGCTTAACCTGCATAATGTAGAGGCAATTTTTTTGGAAACAAGATTTGTGTCCATATATGGCATATATTCCACATGTGTCGTAACACTCGAAACATAAGAGTCGCTTCCTACCATTGGTAGAGAAAATTACATTTACGGACCTTTATGGGCCCGTTAGAGTTAATACAAATGCGATGTTGCATCAAAATTTGCTTATCCCGAATCTGTCTTTTTTTTTTACTATGAATATGCAATATTTTATGTTATGATCTTATACGGTAGCCCCCATGCTACAGACAAAAAAAAGCTTGTACCTGGACAACCTAATAACTTTCTTGACAGAGACATAAATAGCAAACGTTCTAGGTTGAAAAGTGTTGTGAAATTTTTTATTTTTTATATCTTTTTCTGAACATATGATTTTCTAACCTTTTAGAGATTTTAAGTACTAATATTAATCATATTATTATTTTTATTACTACTACCCTCCTGGTTTAGATATATAGTGTCTTTAAGATACTTACTAAGTGAGATGTTGTTGGCATGAAGCGCGGATAAAAAAGAATTATACGCATATACATGTATTCAAAAGATTTGTGGAACAGGAGGACCCTAACCGATAAAAAAATGTACGTGTTTATGAAAGTAAACTTAATTCAAATATTGCAAAACAATGACCGCGAGATTTTATTCAATTGCACATTTAGATGACAAGAGAAAGGGTTCTTGAGAATTCTTGAGAATATGTACATTGGGCAATGTCCGATACAAATTTATAACAAAAATGCAATGAATAATAGAACAAAAAACTTGATAATAAAATGCAAAATAATTTATAGATAGTGAAGGTTTTTATTAAGGTTATTAGCTTCTTAACATGGTTATCTTGTGTATAGTATATTTGTCGAACACAATCTATATTTTCTATGTCTAATACACAGAGAGCGTACATCGGTAATTCTGCCAGGGCTTTTCCACCGTTCTTAATCCTCGAGCAAGCATTAGCACCTGTAATTTCTCAGACATGCCACGTACAGTTTTTCTAATACTATTTATTTAAGCTACCTGGCCGTATCGAAAAGAAAAATAATTAAAACCTTTCGGCTAGCATATTTGCCAACAACGTTTGCGCGGAGTGGAACGAGAGCATTGACAAGCTAGTTGAGCAAAAAATGAATCATTTGTGAGCACAAATCGACTCAACTTAATGTTAAAGTGCAGATGCCAGGATATATGACCTGTATATTAGACAAAATGTTACACTTGTTTTTCTTTCGTGTAAGTTGGCTGTTGAAGCTTTGTGCCGAGCTCAACTTCAATGGCTATACATTAAAGGATAAAATATGCTTGACGAAGTGTAAGCAAAAGTTGGCTTCCCATGTAAGTGAATGAATAATAAAGAAAAGCTCTGCGCCAGTACCGATGATTAATGATACGTGACCGAGAAAAAAACTCTGCTGCGACACCATTGTTGTACTATAATCAATACATTTTAATAATAACTGTTATGTCTAGATCTTTTTGCATATAAACCACGTTAACTTTAAAGCCTCCCATTTCTGCTGCAACCATTAATCTCCCCTCCCTTTCTCCACATGATATTTTCAGCTAGGTAGGCGTCAATCATCTACTACTTCGGTAGGTAGCGTCTTTGCGTCTACAAAACTGCAAACAACAATGTCCAGGAACACATTATAAGTTATTACAATAGTTCAAAATATTTTTTTCAATTCGGAAGTTCTGAAACTTAACCAAGGAATTCTCGTTCTACTAAACCGCACTGGATATTATATACGTATAATATTTTCGCTAATTCTCTCTAAAAGTTGCTTTGAGGCTACTTGAATTCAAAGAACTGAAATTAGCCATGAGTAAGCTAGCAGACTTCTAAATCCCTTTGAATTTTTCGTGTTACTTATAATACTAAAAAAACATGATTTTTTTGTTATGGAGCATGCGCAAATTTAAATGGCACTGACGGGAGCTCATTAACGAGATAAAGGGTTTCAGACTCATTCTGAAAGAATAATAAAGTTATTGGCTCGAAGGAAGCTTAATATAAACTTTTTATTAATGCCGAAAAGCGTAGCCCATATTTGGTAACTGAAGATTAGTGTTTGAAATTCTTTTCTAACATTCAAGAAAAATGGCTGACCATCGAACCATGAGCGGGGGTGGCTGACAACAAATCGACAATAAGATTTAGGTAAGCAAAATCAGCGAAGGCGAATTCAAATGAGCTGTCAAGAATTTTTTCGATAATAACTCAAACCGACCTTCAATTAACTCCTTAATTGCTTCAGCTGGATGTAGAAGGAACACTTCTATCTCACGCCCAAGTCGACTATGCATTACGTTGCAACACTATACGCAAGAGACGAGAATCAAGTGCGCTTTTGGAATAACACTACAAAAGTCACTGCCCATTAAGACGGATGTATTCGGATAAGAAGTTTCTAAATGGACAGTATACCCCAAGTACACTGTCCAATGATGGTACCCAAATAAATAGATCATAAATAATGCTCGAACTACATGTACTAAATTGTATTGCAAACTTACGGAAAGGTTACAAAAATCGAGATGCCTAATTTAAACATTCTGATGCTGATTTTAGTATTAAAGACAATGAAGATAATAAAATTGCTATATATTGCAATAATATATACTAGGGCATCTAGTATACTTCTTGAAAAAGTAATTAATAGGAGCCCCATAATAATTACTAAAGATCTTACTTATTCCCCTGATCAACCAAATAAATCGAGGACGATTATACGTATGCACATCTTGTCAGATTTTGGCAATTTTGGATTGGCAAAAAGCGTTACGAATACGCGTTTTGAGGACAGTGAGAGTATCCATTACAAATATTTTTTGTACGAATTTACCGAAGTACGCCTTCTTGCTTGTGATCTGTAAAAGAGTTTCATTGCATTCGCCTTCAAGCCTTACCTGTCGATCACCATCACAATGGCTATACGATCTAAGTAGACCGCGCGTAGAAAAATCAGCACTTGTAAAAATCCATAATTGATTCGCAGAAGACGAAATGACTATCATCAAAATTGAGTTAATACCTTACGTCTTAGGTATGTCATTGTCGCGCCAACACATAATTTATATACTAATCTGTTGAAGTGAAGCACTGGGAGTCTAGTTGTTCGAGAGTACAACTTAAAGGTGGTGGTAAATTTCATCAAAGGCTAAATATATGTGGGGACTAATAGCGAGCAAGTACCAGGAGGAAAAGTTGAAAAGAACTCTGGCGAAAGAGTTCAACAGTACGTGAAACCATAGTGAGTAACACAGATAACTGTACTGTAAAGTGGTGTGCCTGTCAACAGGGTAGTTGGTTATGTGATGCCTTGAGTGTAAGTTGTCCATTCAACCGATTGCTCTTGGTTAGCGCTGCCAGAGACTCTGTGCACTAGTGCACACTCATTCGTTAAGAACAGTCCTTACACATGGCGTGCTTCGAAGGCAAAGGTGATCAGATCTGTACAGAAGAAGGCGCGATGCTGCATGAGATAAGCTTTACACTGTCATTGATTAAGCACCATATGACTGTTTTTTATAGCAAACCCCAGCGAACTGTATATAAAAATGCTACGGGTAATGAGACAAGCTTACTAAGCACATGAAAGGTAATATTGATCTAGAACGGAAAGAAAGAAAAAAAGGTGCTTATATCAAGGGGATAGAAAGATAACTTGTTCCGGGCAATACTTAATGTTCATTCAGCATTTTCAAGAACTGTGCTTGGGTGCTCGCATTAAGCCTCGCGAAAGTTGTATTTTCCATATAAATTACTCAGAAAAACTTGAAAAAATTTCGAGGCCCTTGTAAAAGACAGTTTTGTAAAAATCAGATATGTCTTTTCATAGACGATATTAAAACGATTAATTTAAAGTCATCGTTTGAACCAGTATACTGGCGTGTTACCCTTATTTGCGGCATTTGTTAATTTATAATCTGCATTTGCTACCACTTTTAGAGTTCAAGCAACATTAAAGCTAGACGAAACACTAGGTTATCTGCGAATCCTTCGTCCTTTGGTATCCATTGCATCAGAGAACTATGTTATATAAATAAGTATTTTCAAGATGAAGATAATCAAATTTAGAAAACGAGGACGCCTTGCCTCAGTTGACACGCTAGGATTACATAGGGAATTCGTGAATCGCTTTCGCTACTTTAAACTTTAAAACCTGTTTATTTGGTAACAAGGACTTTTCAATCGAAAAAAAAAACGAAAGACTTATCCTTGCAAGAGTTGCGTATGAAAAACACTTATGAAACTGGGACACGAATATGATAGATATTAATGTGAATATTTATCAATACCGCCATATTAAAAAATAATACAGTAACCCACCCATTACCTCATTCTATGCTTTACCTATGCAGACTATGGATATAAATATGCAATTAGTGAAAAAAGAAGCTCTCACGTAGAGAATGTTAATTGCATGTATAGACTATACGACAAGTAATGATGCACCTACCACCAAATACACTGCCCTAATTTAATTACTCTTATGTTTCCTAACTGATTTTATATACATGAGTCATGCTTGAGACAGAAAAAAATGGAAAAGCAGTACCGACGGAACACCTCCGTCAGGTAATGTCAAGCACAAAAAGTGACGGAAAAGGAACATGAATGAGATAATTAACGATATAAAGAATCACAAGATCAGTTTTAAGCAAAACCAACAGAGGTGTTAATCTTTCTGAAAGCACTGTTAGACGCGGTAAATCAAAGCAACAATCAAATCTTCCTCAAAAGTGCGCTGCTAAAAATGGGCACAAGTCTAAGTACGCCTATAGTGAAACGCATTGTAACTTGATAAATTGTGTATTTGGCGTTAATAATAGCAACAGTAGAGTTGGCTGCGTGAAGAAAAACAATCTTCAGTTAATCTAAAAACATGCAAATATTGGTTCCAATGAAAAATAGTAACCTGGATGTCGGAAACCTGCAAAAACAATACTACCAGCTGTTGGGTAAAAGCTCGCTGACGGCTGAGGATCAAGATAATTTAAAAAACTGGCTATAAACTCGCTTGATAAGATAAACTTCTCTAAGAGGGGCAAGCAAGTTCATTGACAATAACGTGCCACGAACGGTTTTTTTTTGAAAATTGAAAACGCTTTAGTCACACTTTTTTACAAAGAGTTGAGTAATATTTTAAATGTACCGCTGAACACTGCCAGGACAAAACCAACTCTATATGGGCCGAATGTAGGGCTCAGCCTCGACGGTCGGCCCATATAGGGCTTCTTTTCGCCGAGACCACTACCCATTAATTCTCAGTTTCCTTCTTATACTTCACTCCGGCCGATCGTCGTTAAGTACTACGGATTGGCGCAAGGAAGTATCAGGTGCTGCCGGATCAATCGGCTGTAGTCTCCCTAATTCTATCTCTGCAGACGAGCTTGGTCTCATACGGAGGCTAATCTCCCTTTGAATTTCCACTGAATTCGACCCTGTGGCACTGTCTTACGCGAAATTACCTCGTGACAATCTCCCAAGCGTGATATGTTTAAGGTACATTTATGTATGGCGAAGCTGAAAAGGAGAACTCGATGGACGAACTAGAACAGCATAACAAAATGGAAACGCTATTAAATAAAGGAAAAAGAAGCTTCACCATGCACTGGCTTTCTTGCGTACTCTCAAGTAAAAGGTTAACTATACAACCAACCGAACGGAACGCACTAGAGCTATCACAACGTCACCACATAATAAACAATTATAATAGTTCGTGAGTATGGTAATGTATATACTTAAAATATATGGAGAACTTGATGAAATGCTGCTACATTAGAACTGAAAAAACCTGCATCTAGTAAATTGAAGCATGAACCTCGTTTTGCACCAGTTTTTCACTTCCTAGAACCGTATAGAACTCTCACCCCTCAAACAAAACATCATAAAACAGGATAGGGCCAGTTTTACCAAGACTTCCAGTCTTAGAGATCTAGGCTTTACAGATATATAAGTACTTAAGTGCTTAAGCAACCAACCTCCATCATCACTCCGCATGGTTATTTGCCTTCGTGTAGAGGTCTCTACAAAACAAGTTTCTGATTTCAAAATTTTTAAAAGTAACGGACCACGATGCTTTTAGTAATACATTTTTTCACAAAATATAAAATTAATATGGGGAGCAGTCGCCGTCGCTGTGGCTACAGTATGATGTTCAGATTTGTAAGTCATTCGAAATTTCTAACTTCCTATTGCTCACTGGAACTTGCCTATTAAAAATTCAAGTTACGATATATGACTGTGCGGTCTTAGTTTCCAGAAAGTACGAGTGTATCTTGAAAATTAAAAAAAGTATCGCGAAAAATTGCACCGTTATAAAATAGCATTTCTTGTAGATATGAAATTAACGAATCTCGCATTTTATACCGAAAAATCTAAATAATATATATATAATTTTGCCGGACTGACTGCCGCAATGGGCATACATTCATCCGGTCCTCCTGACATCAGACGAGACTTTCTGCAACAAAGAAACAAGCTTGTTATGTCAAACTATAATGCGTTGTCTTTAGAACTGGAGCGATGATCACCTATTATCCAATCTTTAATCGTAGGACGAATCCACACCGAGACTATAAACTTTTAAATTCTAGACACCGGAAATCGACAGTGTACCACGTTCCAAATGAATAGGCGGCTTTCAAAAAAAGCGAAGACGGGTTAAGCCACAGCACAATAAAAAATTCATGACAGAAAAAGAACAGTGCGGATCTTAAAGTTAACTGCTGCCTCCCAAAGATGCATTTCTAACTAATTTTCTGTTTCACTTAGGGACGTTAGTGAAGAAATTTTGTATAAATTGTTATTTTTCATACAAGTCAGGCAGATGTCCTATAAGGAAGTACAACCAAAAGATTTGATCGATGTTCTTGGTACATGGGTTTATACAGCCCGATCAGCATAGGTTTGATCGCTTGAGAATTCAACCCTGTTCTGACCTGATCGCACATGGCCGCCAGACAGCCCAGATTTAAATTCGTTGGACTACTGCGTATGAAGCGTTATTGTGCAAGATTCCAACAAGTCTCAACATGAAAACGACAACCCGCTGACTCATGCTGTTAAGAAAGCTTCCACAGAATTCTAAAGGGAACCTTTGAGCCTGTAAGCATTTTTGAACCTGAATTAAAGCTGTCATCAATTTGAATGGTGGTTACATTAAGTAAGCATGAACGTAAGGAAAAACATTTCCAGCACAGACAAAAAATTTCATTAAAATATTTCTATTTGGACAAAATCTTGGAAATAAAACATGAAAAATAAAACCCAACTTAAACCCGTACCCTTATGTATATATATACATAAATTCAGTAAATGTTAGCATTGACAACTTTGTCGATGGGGGTGTATCTTGTAGTTTCTTTATTTATGTTGTACGCATATCATTGTCGATTCCGCGAAAACGATCCATTTAAAGATTCTTTTTTCGGGTTTTTGTTTTGATTTGACCTCCAAATTGCATTCAATTCTAGGACCCATTGAAGCCGGTATCTTAGACTCTTTTAAGTAAAGAAAGTTTTGGCAAAATCATCACCGCGGTAAAAGAAGCCTCTTCCGGAGCAATCGAATTATATTTTGCAAGAAACTTTATGTAGCGGTGTCAACTCAGCTACATTTTCACGAAGATTGAAGAAATTGTTGAAGATCGCGTACATCGTCGAGCTGTTACATTTGCGAAATAATTACTGCCTAAATGAAAGGTGGTATCCGTATGTCACACACAAGATTAGACATATTGGAGTCGAATTGACAAATATAAACAAAAATTGAGAAAAGGGATTCTGTTAAATCTGTCTGTTTATATGTGGAGCCTGATATGCAGCTTAACCGTTTTAGTGTAATTTTGGAGGAACTATAATATTGGTACAAAGATAGAAGAACTAACGTATGCGTTGGGCAACAGGGCTCAGAACGTCGAGGTTATTTAACAACAGAACAGGCATTAGCGGACTATGCCACTCTAGCAGCCCACCTCAAAGCAAACCGAACAGGAGCAGCAAAGAGCGATCTCATTACATGGGGCTCTGGCTACTCTGGAATGCTCGCCGTATGGATGCGCGTGAAGTACCCTCACCTAGCAAAGCTGTACGTTGTTTGGTTTTACTGTAACTTGAGAAAAATATATTTTTACATCTGCATTTAGCCGTATAGCAATTATGAAACTTATGGCACGGTCTATGTTCTACGGAAATCAGTTATATAAAGAACATCAGAGTAACTGGATGTCTAATCGTGCCGTATAACAGGCTACTATACATAACATGTACAATTTGCGCATACAATCAGCACTTAACTTTTTTTCATAGTGCTTCTTCGTGCTTTTTAATTTTTTTTGTTGTATGTGAACGTAGGGCGTACGCTTCAAGCGCTCCCATTGGCTATTACAGTGGCGAGGTTCCATGCGGGAAATTTTTAAAATCTGTCACAGCAGTATTTAAGAGTGAATCGGAATCTTGCGCTCAGAGCATACGAAGAATTTGGAACGTTCTTCAAAGTATGGCCTCGTCGAGTAAGTACGACATGTGCACAGTGCATGTTTTTAAACGGGAAATATTATCTAGCTTCTTTTCTTTTATTTAACTAAAATTGTATCACTTTGTAAGTTGTGGTGTCTCCTCTTTTATTACGTGCTGCTCGCTGACAATTTATTTAAATATTATAGGAGATGGCATGACGTTTCTTGGAGAGGCCTTCAACACATGCCAACCTGTAAGAGGAGATAATATATCAAATCTCTTTCGATGGTTGAAAGAGTCTTTCAGGACAATTTCTATGCTGGATTTTCCGTATGAAACAGATCTTTTCGGCAAACTACCTGCTTACCCCGTAAAGGTATACGGAACTTTATTTAAAATCGAATGCAAAAGTGGTTATAACTATTATCCTGTACTTTTAAACTCACGTAAGATTTCTGCAACCTAGAAGACTCCTTCAAAAGCTACTTATGTTGTATAAAGAGCGCCTTATTTTTATAAACGGATCACTTCTAGCCATCCGTTTTATAAATAATTATGTATACGTGTTGACTCTGTAATATTCTCTCATTCTGTGTTTTTTTTCTAGGAGGCATGCAATTACCTGTGGAATCATCAGCAAACTGAACGGGACCTCATGAGAGCAACTTATAAAGCCGTATCTGTCCTTTATAACCATACGGGAGAGGTAGTTTGTTATTCGCTGGACAATACGCTTAGAAATAACGCCGGGTGGGGTTTTCAGGTTAGTAAACAAGGCGGGTAGAAGCAGGTATTAAAATTAAAAGAATATAAAACAAAGATATATTAAACGGTAGTTTGCATGTTAGACCACGCTAGTTTAAAAGGCAATGTCGAATGCACTGAGTGAATACACATCGCCAGTTATTAAATATTACCAGCTTATGTTGCAACTTCAGAAATTGTTTATATAGGGACGAACTGAGCATTAATTTAAATAAGTTGATCATAAGCTTTTTAGGCTTTTAAGAATGTTTATATATGAGCAAAGCTATAAAGGGGAAGGCAAAATCGTTTTCGAAGTCGAGAAGCTTAAGCGTTGTAAACAAGCTGGTAGACAAGGAGTTTATTATAGATGGGACCCTATTTATCGGAGTTTTTATAGACAGCTTTGAAAATGACAATCATTATAATCTTACGTGAAGAGAACTCAGAGGCGCCCGCTTATTAGCAGCTTTATCTGGTCAGCCTTCCTTGTGAGCATGTTATGTTTTTCAATTTAGATTTAATAACCTCGCTTAAAGGGCTTGAGATTTCCACCTAAGCATCAACTTAGGAAAAGTAGGTTCAAGTGTAGGCTTACTTCCTCTTCGTAAACCTATTGTTTTCGTAACCGTATGGTACAGCATCCTTTGCCATCTTCCTGTGAAAGCGCCTTTTTCTAAGTCGATTTATAAACGGCGAATCTTATCCTAAATGGTCTACTAAGATTGCACCCTACTTTTTCACTAAAAGCTAACATTTGGCCCATTCAGTGGTAGCATATTACACATGCGGATAAAAATGGGTGAGAAATCAGTTTTAACATGAATTTGATATAAGTCCTTTTTATTTTTTGAAAAACAATATAGGTTTTTGAAAAATAACGCGCTTTTATTAAAAGAAGTGTATTGAGTGACTTTAGAGTCTTGTAGAGGAAGCTTATTTTTTCAATTCTTCAACTGACGTAGAATTTGTAAAATGATTAAGAACGTCACTTCTAATAAAGTATCATACCTTGCTATGCTAGCAAACAGTAACTGAAGCCAAGCGAATATGCTATAATTTGTTAATTGAATAAATTATATTTTTATCATTCGACCTGTTACACATCCATCAGCTTCACAACTGGGCTATCCCGGGAATTCCGTTCATGCTGGTGCTACCGATACGTTAGTGCATTTATTATAGAGAACTATATGTTTCCCAACGTCCACGTCGACACATTTTATCAGTTCTCAAGCATCTGTAAAAAAAACTCAGTGTTTTTTTGGAATTAAAAAAATTTAATAAATAAAACATAATTTAATTCAGTGTTCATTGAGTAGAGTTCAAGAAACTGAGTAATTCTTAATGATTGAATCAGCTAAATTGATTCACAGCAATTAAGTAGAAGGTTGCACATATACCACTGCGACCTGTGAGAAAAGATAAAAACCCAAGACTATACTCAGCCGTTTACCAATATGAAAAACGCTAAACATGGCTAAAGGCCTGCCGAGGACGGCGAAAATCGAATTAAATCAAGGAATGAAAGCAATTTATATTCCTAATTTAAGCAATACGTAATTATGATGATAGTTCTAATGCACGTTTCAAACTTCACGGCCCTTAATACAAGACAGTACTAGAATATTTCAAGTTTTACGTCTTGTATTGTTGCCAAGCTTTGCTTCAGACGACTGGCCTTTCCTAGCATGAAACGAAGTGTGTCTACGCTCGGTCTCAAGCCCAATTAAATGTTGCGGATTTCAAATCCGGTACTGCCGTTATGCATTACCCCAAGCACAAGATTAACTGTGTCTGCTTCCGGTTTCGAACCTAGACTAGATCTAGTAGGTAAACATGTTACCACCACACCAAGGTGGTAGGGGAACGGGGACCGCACTTTAATCTGAACTACGTCATCTGTCTTTAAGTTCAGTAAGCAAAACTGTTCACAGAAATAATGTAGAACGATACTAATAACTTGAGACCATCGCTTTTATTGTGTATAATTTAATTTTATAAACAATTTTCATGTTACTCTTATTCACCTTTCTTTACATATGCCACAATGTTCTCGCTAACTAATCCTTATTTAGCTCAACGATAATGACGCTCATCACCATAAAATGTAGAAACGTCCCCCAACACTACTTACCATAGTTTGAGCATTTAGGGCGCGGTTTTTACCTTTTACTTTACAATCCTATCAGTTGCTTCACATGCAAATAGAGAGAGTAACTGGAACACTTGCCTCGTTTCATCTTAATGACATTGAAGTGACACAAACTGCCTCTTTTAGGTGCCCTGAGTGAAACTACCACTAGTCTTAACCCTCACTAATTTGGGTTCTATTATTTTTTCACCTTTACTCTGTTGTGTAACTCAGGCGCATTACTTGCTTTAAATTCATTACGGATTTTCCTTTATTTTACACAAATTACTGTTACAAGTCTACTTACGATCCTCTTAGTTCGTTAATAAACCTTCTTTTTATACCCAATGTGCGCAAGATACACCTATGTATAAACGAAGTTCAGTATTTAAATATTTGGGATTACCAATTAATACTACTACTATAATATTTTCACATTTAACTTATCTACGGACCTGAAAAATGCGTAAATAAATGATGACAATGCATTTCTCATTAGAAGCTCAATTATATCTTGGTGCTGAGCTTAAGATGAGGCAGTCGATTCCCATTAAACGAGTTAATTTTATTTTTTTATACTGATAGGTGTTTATAAATTAGAATGGTTCTCTCTTCACCGTTTCATCATTTTAAGCAAATATGTATGCATAGACTTCTACACTATAAGTATCTTATGTGAGAAATTACTTACTGGGTATGCAAGTTCTATGTTCAAAACGAAAATGCATCTGAACTTTTATCAAACTGTTCTAAATTCTATTGTTGGAGTATTCGAGAAGCGTTTCCCATATTATAATATTACTAATATTAATTTCTGACATGTGTCGTCTAATTTTTATATTCTTTTTTTAAATTTTAAGCTATTTTAAACCTATTTTAAAAAAGGGTATGTAAATTTCCTATACAGGCTTGCACAGAGCTCATCATGCCTGTGTGCTCTGACGGTATGGAAGACATGTTCAATCCTAAAGCATGGGATCTCAAGCGAGTACAGCGTAAATGCATGAATAAATTTGGCGTTTGGCCTGATCCACAACGTCTGAAAACCATTTTCGGGGGAGCGTCAGGATTGAACAACGTTGAAAACATCGTTGTTACGTAAGTTTCATTAGTGTCTTTTTCTTCTTTAAGGAAAAAGACCAATAAAGCTAATAGACGAAACTGTAGCTAGTTAGGCAAAAACGGGTATGACAATTAGTTGTCCTCCAATAATGTAATAAGGACCTGTCCTTTCACTAAACTTAGGGGCATATAGTGGCGTCGTTTCGTGCTGTGAGGCGATAATCTGAAACGATGCTTAACGGATATATCGGGCGTAGAACTGTAAATCTTTATTTCTAGGCATGATAGTTATTACAGAGATGTGAAAAGTGTTCTAAGATTATATGCTCGTATCTCTGGAAAAAAATAATTTGGTAATAGTTATTCGGGTTAAATCACATTGCTGTTGTTTCCACAAAGAATAATGTAACATAAGCCACAGATCCAAAAATTAAATTCAGCACATATTTGAATTTTCCTCTTTAGTGCTCTTTTTGCACATGTGCCTACCTACGAGAACATACTTTTGATCTATACTGTTTCAAATGGTGTTATTCTCAGACTGCTATGAGCGTTTTGGGAGTAGAATACTCACACAAACAAATTATTATACTTTTAAGTGGGAATCTATCATTCAAATCATACGAGTCCGCAGCATTAGAAGCTAAAGGAGAAATCAGGATTTATTTGTCAATATCGCATGCGACGCCGCGAATCACACGTGCTCAGTAGGTTTTATGTATCTGCTATATAGGGAGATTAACAGTGATCTTCTTTATTAATGTAGTAGTTAACAAATGTCTTCATTACCATTTTGTTAGGCAGGCATATATAGTATTACTTCTTTTGAACCATTGTTTTGCCAAATTATTCTTGTCCTTTCAATATTCTTCTTCTGTCTTTTTGTTTGTGTCTAGACTAATTTTACTTTGGTACAATAAATTCAATGCAAGGTTAGTAAGTCACATATTGTTAGTATAGCAATAAAAGCTTTATACCTATAATCTATGTATTGGCCCAAATGTAGGCCACACATTTTATGCAATTAATAATACTAATACATACTAACGCTAACACAATATTGCAAATAGGGCTACGTCAAAGTGATCATTTTGTTAAGGCTTCTTTACACTAAAGGAAAATTTCAGCTGCCTGTGTTTATCTCTTGTTTTGCTTCTACACTGCACCTGATAGTCTCGATAAATTTATTATTTATCACATAATTACAAGTCTGGGTCTTATAAGACATTTATTCTAGAGTACTTTTAGTGTATTCTCAAGAAATTTCAGGTTGCGTTCTCTAGCCAAGAAAAATCTTCGTATTTGTTTTATCTATTGAGCCACCTGCCAAGTAATATATCGTCTATATTAAAATCCAGTTGAAAAAATTTATTTTCCGTAAATAATGAAGTATGTATAGTATCTTTTTTTGTTTTTTGGCGCATAGTTTTACACACCGTTAGTCTTATTTTTGTCATGTTTCTGTCTCAATTGTCTTCAAATGTTTCTATAAAACTGGCCAACGTACAGTAATAACCAACGTGACCCATGGTTTGACGGCGGCATCTTAACCGGCAGTGAAGGCGTTACTGTAATTTCAATTCGGAATGGAGCACACGGCCACGATATGCGCACACCTCACGATAAAGATCCTATATCGGTAACCTGGGCTCGTAGTCGTGTACGAGCTGTTTTGCGACGATCAATTTCGCCTTTCCTCAACTACGTTCTTGGATGAGTCATGATCCGGACATCAATCAGTGTTGACAAAATTATTTGCGCCTATTGTAGCTGTGAAATTTTTCGCTGGAATAACAATTAATTATAAAGTGATAGCTATCAGGAAGTGAAAATCTTCTCTCGTTAATCAGAATGTTTTTTCAAAATATTGACTTTTGTACTGTAAAATGGTCGCTAGAGACAGAACGCATTTCAGATAAACAAAAGTTTATCACAAACAGTGCTACAAAATTGCCTCACGATTGTTGAATAAACATGTTGTGAAATAAACTTAAGTGTTACCTATATATAACTAAAATTATAACTTAATCTCCGCTTATGAGCTTGTAACGTTCACGTTCTTTTCTCGCCAGAACCAAGCAAAATCTACACTTAACCCTGCACGTACAAGCATAAATACATTAATGAGCTCAATACGAAACTTTAGAAAATCTATGTACCTTAAAACCAGTCGACCCTTGAAGCTATAGTACCGCATGATCTCCAAAGAATTGGTTTATTCTCAGTTGGAGTCGTGTTTGATTATTTATACGAGCGGCCCATTCGACAAGTCTCAAGTACGAGACCTAATAATACGAGGCTAAGGAAATAAATCTAAAGCCATATTTTTATTAAAAAAAGCATTCTTTATTTATTATCTTTATTACATGAATTGTTTTTTAAACAGCGCTAGTGTTAGTTAAAATCAACAACGATGCTGTGTCACGACAAGGCAGCGACGACATAGTTGCTTAACAACCTTTTCCATGAAATACTTTCCCAGTTTATTTTCCAACATGTGCGAAGACCCTAATATGAACTTCCTCTTCTTTTATGCTTGAGGAGCTTATGATTTTGATAGATATTAAATAGGTACCGCTTATAGTGAAATACATATCGTTATATAAAGCCAATGAAGTTCTGAGTCTTGTCTTCCGACAACAATATTGCGACAAGGAGCTTACCAGATTCAAAACGCAGGTTAGTTCACTGCTACTTTTTAACTAAGCGGACTGATATAGATGTACAGCATATATTGTATATATCGATATTTGATGACGCTCGTGATGAATAGAATCAATATAGGACCGAATGGTTACATATGTGATTTAACAACAATGCATCTGCTGCCAATTAAGCTAAGTCCTCATCATGCGTCCCAGCCAATCAAGCGATAAAGTTTTTCATATATCAAACAGAAAGGTGACGATATACGTATGTACACACCTTAAGGCTACATATATACACATCAAGCGATGTCATTGCAAGACGCTTATGCGTTACGTGAAAAAGGAAGAATAGACAAACTGAGCGTTGCTAAATATTATTCATTGGTTGATTAGCGGGCTGCATATGTTCGATGAATTGTTCACGGGGTATACTTAAAGCATTTAGGAATTCATACACGTGCGAAACTTTAAGTTCAAACATATGTTTATGAGATATTCTAGATTGATTTCCGATTGATAAAAGGCAACCTATTCCGTTTTAACAGAAAATCTCAGGTTACGTCGGATACGAAGACAACATTACTTAATAGCAAGATCATGATCGTGAGATTCCTGTTCTTATGATGAAACCATCTTGTCTTATAGTTTCACCCTTCTTTGAAATCTCTGAGTGTGTGGGTAATACGCAAGCCATGACAGAAGTTCCTACCTCAAAGAGTGCCTTGAAATTAAGGTTTACCATCGACATGACACAATTTGATTCGAGGTGTGTAACACTACTTGGTGGCACATCGAAATCATCTTACGGATTTTTAAAGAAAAAAACATTTAAGTGATCCAATGAGTGCCAAAAAGTATTCGAAGTACTTAAGGTTGCTACGTCAAATCAAGTTCTCGTACAAGTTTATAAAAAATATTGAAGGTTTCATATTTTACATTAAATAATAATCTGTTGAGTGCTCTCTGATGTGATCTTTTTGTGCAGTGAACAGGTTGAGTTCAGCGTTCAAAAGTGAAGTTTCTAGATAAAAGTGTACTTTCGACAATTATTCCTTTTTGTCTTTTTACGAGGTCAAACAACGGCCGAAGCAGCTCGGGATATTTGTCGTGTGTACAGCGAGGACTCGATGATTGCTCGAAACTGGTTTGCAAAGCCCAAGGATAGATTTTTGGATTTTTTGTAGGATGCACTGCGCGTCGGTTGGCCATCTAGTGCCGTTGAAAGCAAAGTGACGGCATTTTTAAAAATATATTGCCGGGAGATAATTGTGAATCGGGCGAAAAAATTGATTGTAGTCGTGTTAAAGCAAAAGGCATTTTAGGTCTACAGGATTTACTCAAAAATTGGATGCTTGAAAGGTGCTTCGAAAGGTGAACAGCACTATAAATTGAGTGGGTGTAACAAAAGAAACACGGCTTCTCTTTGCCTCTTAATATCTCTCCTGGCGTCGAGGTACACGCAGGCGGAATGACAGGTTTCTACACAGAACACTTACCGATGACGGGAAGTGGCGTCCTAGCGCGGATAAAATGGGTAATTCTGCGAGATACTCCCAAACCCAGAATTAAACTAGGCCTCTATCTCAAAAAGATGACTATTTGCGTTTCATGGGGCTAGATGGATTTTATGCATTTAAAAATGTTTGAGAAGAACAAAACGGCCAATACAAATCTGTGCATGGTCAAGTCGCATCGAGCGAATGAAACTGTACAACAGAAAGTACCTAGCAGAAGAAGCAAACTCATTTTTTTCCACAACAATGATAGTCTCTATATAGCAAAATGTGAAAGCTGCTTTGCAAGAACTTGGGTAAAGGGTTCTTATGCATCCACTATATTCTCCAAACTCTCCTTTCTGCAAGACATAAAATTATCAGCTTCCTTGATTATCAGTATATGAAATAGTAACCATGCATTTAATAACGAAGAGGATCTTAAAACCTGGGCGGGTGAAAACTATACTGGCCTTCCTTTGAGTAGAGTGTGGCAAATATCTTTCTACAAGACAAAGTAATCTCGAGCATGAACGGATCATCGGTTACTCTGCTTGGATAGCAAACCGTCTTCCTAGGGAAGGTACAGTGCACAAGTTTTGAGCATTGTGACTAAAAGTCAGTAGGAGAGGACTTTCCTGTGGCACTATTGTTATCTCTGGCACGCTTACTTCATGCCTTTTGAGAAATTCTCCCCGATGAAGGTACGAAAGGGCTTGGCGCCTTGCAGGAGCATAGCACTCCGACAGGCTGAAGGTCGTCTTCTTCAAGGATCCTTCAAACGGTAAAGTGTTGAGTTATTCCTAGATAAGTGGAGTTTCTGTGAATGTAGTCTCACCAAGCTTTTACAAGTTGTAAAATCGAGATTGGACGTATTTGCGACAAATCATAAGTGGAGAATCTGTCTGCCTGGCGCGGCGTAGTCTAACCGTAAAAAAAATCGGGTGCAGGAACGAGCGAAAGGGTAATATTAGTGACGTTCTTAAAGAAAAAGACAATACGAACTTTGAGTTTGGCACCTACTTCAAGCACGTCCTTGCTGCTTCTGTCTAGACGCTTGCTGCAAGGTCAGCGAAGCGCTATTCCAGTCCGCAACTGGCGGCAAACATTTCGCTCACTTGTTTTAACTTGTCCATCTACCATGAACTTCTACCAATAAAAAAGCTATCGTTGGGTTATCGCGATTTACTTTATATTATGCGACTCCTTATGTTTCTAATCTGGACCATATTTACCTAATAATATAATACTAATTATTGTTGAGTGCATCATTATAGCGTATACATATGAAGCTATTACTTTATCGATCCTAGATCATATATATATATATCAAGTGAGCTGACTGTTATCGTACGTTCGTGAAAAATAAATGTTACTTCTATAAAATTATCCGTTGTTCAGTAATTAGAATTTACCGTGCATGAAGACCGTATGGACTTCAGCATTTCCAACTTTGTGAGCGATTGTTCTTGAATTTGTGCCTTTGTGGTGTAATTTTACCTTTTAGAGTTATTTGAATGTGTTTGTGTTCTAGAAGGTTAATATAAGCGTAATTGTCAATATGTCATTGGAGATAAGTCGTAAATTATAACAACAAACTGTTATAGAATATTAGTTTGAGGCTTCGAACAACCACTGCGACCAGATATCTCGAATTTTAAATCCTTTCAGGTGTGTGGTGTAGCAACCAACAACACTTAGTGGGGTAACTCAACAACATACAGTCACATAACCATGCACAGCCTGGATTGAAAGAACAGGATCGAGCGACAACTTCATCCTTCATGTTCTGCAAATTCGAATTCGTACGATTCGGTTGCTCCCATGCTTTAAGGATGGTGATAAGTTGCCTAACGCATTTTATTCTTGACTCTCTAATATGTCGTTGATGACGATATTAGGTATGGTAATGTAAAACATAAGTACAGAGTTGTCAATATGTAAACTAGAAAGGGAAGTACATCTAACATATATCAAAACACCCTGGTTTAAAAGTTTTTCAACCCGCTATATGGCTTGAGCAAATGTAATATGCACTGAAATCAGAATACATATGTTCAATAAAATACTAAATTATTATTACGAGGTATATAAAAATCTATATATAAATAGGTTTAGAATGCAACATTCGAACTCGCCAGTACAACAAAGATACACCATTATTATACAGAGACAAGAACTTTTAAACACAGTCTCACAGGGCAGTTACAATATACCTTTGATAATGATGGTACTATCTGCTACTGGCCCATATTCTAAATTTGTATATGATAGATGTTAGAGTTCATCGGTAGCTTTCTTATGTAATTAAAGGGTGTCAATTTCTTCAATAAAAAATCCGGTTTCGAATTACCGCATTTGTGTCGCACCTGTTAGCAATTTAAATAGCTTTAGAAAGTACGACAGAATATTAACAAGACAAAACCTATTTTCTGCTGGCCAAGCTTGGGCCTCAGCTTTGACAGGTAGACTTAGCTTCGTCGAAATTACTACCCGCAAATTCTCGATTCCTCCATTAAGCATTACTCCGAGCTGACGCGGCTGATCAGTATTTAGTAATACACATTAGTTAAAGAGAGTCGTGTTAGCCACCATATATGTTGGCCAGCGTTTCCTTTGTTGGACTCTCCACCGCAATAAACGAGTCCGATCCTGGATAGAAGGAGAGTTCCCTACGCTATTCTGCACACCCGACCTTGTGCCACGCGTTCTTTTGCCTCTATGGTTCCCTATCAAACTTTTGGCAACCTCCTTTTATGCTCTATCGTATAGATACAAAGTCAGCTTGTTCTGTTCTGAGCCGTTTCTACCCACGTATTTAGGTGAGCGATTTGCGTTTCCAATGGGGCCAGACAACGTGTTAAGGTGTGTAATAGATTATCTTCGGTGTCAAACCCAAAGTAAAGGGGTATGTTCGGAAGAGCTTTTCTGACGCGAAATGCATAACTATGATAGTTTCCGTTTTTGCTTAGAAATTGGGCAAAAAAATATTAAGTTCACTCCCTGCTTGCTAGCAAACTTGCTAAGTTTGCTAAACGTGACACACAAATACTGTAGTACAACTAATTTAGCATGCCTATTAAACTGAGACAGACATCCTAAAATCACTACA